GTTTTTGAAAAAAAAATGACGCTCATAACTGGCAATGGATCTCGACCGATATCATTTGCTATTGGAGATTTTAATAATGACAGTCATATAGACATTGCAGTCGCAAATTCAGGTACTAACAACGTCGGTATTTTTCTAGGACATGGTAATTATTCTTTCACAAATCAAATGACATTTTCAACTGACTCAACCCCAATCTCTGTTGCAATTGGCGATTTTAACAGGGATACAATGCTAGATATTGTCGTTGCTAATCATGGCAATAGCAATGTTGGAATATTTCTTGGATGTGGTAATGGCTCCTTTTTAAACCAAAGTACGTTTACGACTGGCTCTAAATCTCAACCTTACGGAATCGCCGTTGGTGATTTCAACAACGACACGTTAGCAGACATTATCGTCGCCATAAATGATGCCAACGAGGTAGGTGTGTTGCTTGGATATGGCAATGGGTCATTGGCAGATGTAAAGCTCTTCTCGATTGGTTATGGATCTCGTCCGTTCGCAGTTTCCGTTGCTGATTTTAACAATGACGGAAAGTTGGATTTCGCAGTCGCTAATGAAGGTAGTGACAATATAAAAATTTTCTTACAGACTTGTTAATATTGCAACTCTCCTAGGTTGAACTTTGTTTTTGTTTCATTCACTGTTTCTAACTTCTATTTAGTGCTACTAATATTTCTTGCAATCTTTTTTTTCTACTCATCTTTTGACTTCTATGCACAAATAAACTGCGGTTGAAAGTGGGTGTCTCAACCAACGTATGACTTATTTCGATCCTGCTTAAAGAGTCTCATTACATAGTGTTGACTAAGTATTCGTTCAAATGATTCGGAAGATCAAAAGTATGATACATAATTTAAAATTTTCACGACAAATTCTCAAAAGACTTTCAATCGTAACAGTAGATATCGTTACTACAATGATGAGTAAAGCAAACTTCGAAGCGTTTGGATCTTGCTTAAGAGTCTCGTTAAGGTGATAGAGTATGGATGTGGCTGACGATGAATGACAACCTTCAGGTGGTATGGGTGTGGAGTGTGGGTGTGGGATGTGGATATAGGTGTGGTCGGGTGTGGTCGTGGGAGTGCGGATGCCATATTCTTATTTTGTTCACACCCACACTCATTGACAAAATGGCTCGAAAAAAACACAATTCAATTATCTATAACGTACTGATATTACTTTTCATGATCAGGCATTCATAATTATTGAAAAAAAAATCTAGAAAAGATTTATTTATGAAAATAAAAACAAAGAGAAATGTTGCTTTAATTTAATTTAGTATTTGTTTAATATTTGCAAGTAGGAAAAAACAAACCACTGCTTATTTTGTTATTCTATAAACTTATAAAAAGCAATAAATTTATCATCATATTCAAATAAGTTAACTAATTTTGTTTTGAGAGACGTTCAGAATTTTTACGTGCCATTTCCAATTCGGATCGAGGTAAGAGTGCCTTATAATGTGTACCGACATTAACGAGACATGCTCTATGTTCAACATTTCCATCGCGTGGATCTACAACAGTAAGTAATTCTCCTGCACGAAATATAACCAATTGAATACGATATCGATCAGCTATAGCCATATTAGCCATTTCATCTCCGTAAGTGTTTGGATCAGCCATTGATTTAGCCCAATCTCTCAATTCATTCTCACTTACTTTTTCACCAGGTCTTGATACAGTTGAATAATAGTCTATATCACTCAATACTTGTTCAATAGCTCTTTCACGTAATTCACTATGAAACACATCAGGTTGTTGAAGTCCTACATATACAGATAATATTTTCTTAATAATTACATATAAAACATTGAATTCTTTCTTCAGTAAACATACCAGAAATGAGAGTGGCTCGAAAGGCACATGCCTAATAAGGATATGATGAGAATAAAAATAATTGTAGATATATACACGTCAATTCTTCATCGCCAGTAACTTCAACAGAATGAAGTCCAAATTGACGCTGTAGTTCGACATCCAAATTGTATAAATCAATGTTCAAATTGCTTCTTGCTGCAGCCGTTAATCGAAGAAGACGTTTACCATCTGAATCTGATTGAAAACGGTCATTTCGTTCCGTAACTGCAATAATATCTTTCATCTGATCGTATACATCAGGTATTGAACCAAGTTTTTTGCTTGAAATTAATTCACCAAGTAGTTCTATTCGACTTCGTATTCCTTCACTGTTTGGTTCAAGCAATCGAGATACCTTATTAATATAACAATATTATATCATGTTTAATTATAAAAATATTAAGTCGAATTTCTCTTAATGAAAATCATTGTCTTTATTAATTAGAATCGTTAAATTAAACTATTAATTATTTATTTGATTGATGTAATATTCCCCAATGGGATTTATTATAAATTTCGATTGATTGTCCTTATCTTTGTCAATATTTATTCGAAAACGTAAAAAGATCTTAAAATTTTGTTAATTCTCTTCGATAGAATTTCTATTAATTGAGTAAAGCCTTGACAAAAGATAAATAGATATTTAATTTATGCTTAGGAGAATAATTTAGACTCTAAAATCTATTTAAGTAAGATAGATAAATCAACGTTTTAAGTCGCTCTTTAAATGTCTAATAAAAATATTTGCTTTATGCATATGAACTGTTAAAAAAACTTTTTTATTTTATTCGAATTTGTTGATTGAAAGGGTTCAATTTTTCAAGTATGCAGGGTATCCCAAAAGTCAATTAACAAAAAGGGTGGGTGTGGGTGCAGATAATTAGGAGAAACACCAAGCCACACCCAAACCCACACACACCCACACCCCACACACACCCACACCCCACACACACCGCACACCCACCCACATTGTTTTTTTCAGGTTTCTTGTCTAACTCGGTACATTCTCATGGAATAGCATTTTCAATGATTTCTTTGTTCTATTTTCTTTTTGTTTTTTGTTTCAAGGTCTATCGGTCACTGTATGTTAAATAATTGAATGAATCACGAGTTTATTCTTACTTTATATTCAACGACGGAATAACTTCTTCGAAATATCTTTACTAATATTCAATTATTCAATTAAATTCTATCAAAAGAATTCAATATCTATTCCATACATTTCATTAAATATTCCATATGACTAACGAGAAAAAATTCACTACCGTTGATAATGATTTCTCTTCTGAAGATGCACGTCATTGATTTGGAATTTCAATTCAAGAATTAGAAAAATTGATGCAAACACTAGGTCATGAAGGTATTAAACAACTTAATGACATGTATGATGGTTTTAATGGTATTGAACAAAAGCTCAAAACAAATTTAATAACTGGTAAAAACAACATACACTACGAACAAACGAAGAAAAACAATCGAAATTATGAAATCTATTATTTTATATTTAGATTTATCTAATGATGAAATTGATTTATCAATACGTATAGCCGCCTTTGGTCGTAATGAAATTCCACAAAAATCATCAACAACATTTCTTTGTCTTTTGTTTGATGCTCTTAAAAATTGGACATGTATTACACTTATTATATGTGGTATCATTTCATTTGTCTTATCATTTTATCATCCAAATGGAGAAACAATTAAAGCTAAAATAAAACCAAGTAAATTTATAATCAAAACAAGAAAAGATCATACATAGTGTTTTCCTTTTTTCTTCACACATACCTTTTTATTTTTAGAGGAAACAAATGTTGAATGGATTGAAGGTGTAATAATTATTATTGTTGCAATAGTTCCTGCTCTAGTAACAGCATTTTATGCATGGATAAATTAGAGACAATCTCGTCATTTTCAATCATTAGTTGAACTTGATCAAAAGTGTAATGTTATTAGAGAAAGTACAATACAACAAATTCCAATAAAAGATATTGTTGTTGGTGATATATGTGAAATTAAATATGGAGATGTATTACCAGCTGATGGTGTTATTATACAATCTAATAATCTTAAAGTTGATGAATCCTCATTAACTGGTGAATTAGATTTAATTGAAAAATATGAATCAACAGATCCATTTCTTCTTTCGGGTTAATAAATTTCTTTGTTTTATTTTTCTTTATTGATAAAAAATAAATAACTATTCATTGTTTTGAATATTTTTTTTTAGGTACACATATTATAGAAGGCAGTGATAAAATGTTAATTTTAGCTGTTAGTGAACATGGTCAAACAGGAACGATATTGAAGTTACTAAGTACAATCAAAGAACAAAACAATGATAAAAAAAAACAAAGTATGACATGTAGATTTTATTTTTATTTTTAAATGATTCCTTCACTTGTCTCTGATACATATTCAGATACTACTGCCGATGCAGATGTTAATGAATGTCTAGTAAAATCAAAATCGGCTGAAGGTATTCTTCTTTATTTTAATATCGTTAATTCTGTATTAATATTAATATGGTAATTGCTATTAAATCATTCATTACAAATGCTTCTTACTTATCGTTTTGTTTTTTTTTGATAATGTTAAAAGAAAAATTCTTTTTTTTGCGTTAGACGCAACTGCATCACAAAATGTTGTACTTGATAATGTCAATCCAACAAGTAATGAGGATGATCTTGATTGTGTTAAAATAGAAAAACGATCAATTTTACACACACAATTAAGAAAATTAGGTATTCAAATTGAATATGCAGATAAAAATTTTCAAATAGATTTCATATAAATCTCTATTTTATTTCTTTCTATAACTATCTTTGAAATTATAAGATTTCTTTCAAGATAATTAATTCTATTTTTGATTTATGTTTAATACAAGAAAAATCTTTTTTTTTTCTTTTTCTTCTAGGAATAGCAATTGTTATTTTAACTGTACTTGTTCTATTGGTTTTATTTTCAATTGAACAAGTGATTCAACAGTAAAAGAAAAATTTTTTCTTTTTTTTTTTCATCAATGTACTATTCAAATATTTTCTATAGACATGAATGGG